TTCGTATCATAACACAATTAATAACAACGTGCTCGTGTGCAAGACTCGTATCGGTTATAGTTTATTTACTCTGTATACCGTGTTAATAACATATTGCAACTACCTACAATTTTTGTATTATATATTATATTAAAGCCCCAAGCGCGAGCTACTAAATTGTGTTCAACAATAAATAGCATATTATAATTGGCTACATTCCCAACGAACGTTTATAAAGAGTGATTGGTTAACTGGTGATACAGTGACCATCTTAAAAGACGGTTAGATTTCATTAAAATTACTTTTTTCAATACTTTCATAGCTATTAGTTAGCCCAAATTTGATATTATATGGTTCAACATGGTCTTACGGTGTATATAAGGTATATATATAGACAAAGTTGAAGAAGGAGATATGTTTTTAAAAAATAAAAAAAAAGTATTACCAAATTTGATGTAGACTATTAATTTGGACTCCTAAGATTTAAAACGAGGTGAAAAGTTGCACGTAATAGGTTGCATAATATAAAATCAGAATTGTAAATTGTAAACTACATATATTATAATAAGTTGTAGATTAATAATATATTCTATAACCTAAAATAATTATTATTAGTACTGTCAAATAATTTATACATATTTGTAACTTTTGGCTTGTTTATTTTGAAACTAAACTATATATTTAATATGTATGCTATAAAACTAGATCACAGCACTACAAAAATTGATCATAATAGATTGCATAACATTGTTTTTGAATGTTTGCTTTAGAAGGTCGATATATTATTATCTAAACATAATAATATTGTGTGTAACATTTTTATAACGTTGCTGAATTATTTTTAATTCATAGTTTGTAGCTTCGTTAAGTAAACGAATGACGAACCAGTTTTTTTAATTTAAAAACAGGACTATTTTATGTGTTTTTTTATGTTCTCAGTGGGTTTTTTTTTTGGAAATTGTAAGAACGCCTAATAATTATGCAAATGCAAAAACGAGAAGTTACAATATGTAGACACATGTGACATTTCCATAGCTTTATTATGTCACTTAACTTATGTTATACTTAAAATCAAACACATCGTATTTACTTACTAATTTCGGGGTGAATGTGAATGTAAGTATGCTTTTGTGCAACTAATCAGAAATCTCAAAAATCTCCGAGATGTGTATTAATATTCCAACAATGAATTACCTCACTACTGTGCCTAAATCTATTTTTAATGCGTTTTTTTTCTATGATTAAGAATTTAACGTGCATCGTGTTAAGTAATAGTTTATAATTTGTACTAATCACCCGATTATTCTTACAATAATCACCAAAGTTTTTATTGTGAATTTGTCAGAGTAGTATTGTAAATCATTTGCAGTATACAAGCAAATGTTATATATATTGATAGAAAATAGTATGAATCCATTTTTTATATTTTGTAATTCCATACTTACCTAATTTTCTAGTTGTGGTGTCAAACATAATACATATATGACGTGTGTTTAAATAGATTTCTTATGAAAACAACTTAGTAGAATTTCGGTTGCTTTCAACATTTGTCTACTTATAATGATAACATGTCGGCGATTAAGTTGAATTTTAATTATATATAATGTTATAGAGTGTTTAAACTTTGTTATAATATTTACTTTTACATTATACACAACTAAGTACTACGGTATAAAATGCCGATTACAACATCTGTAATAGGCGATTAAAAGGTACATACAGATTTGACTTTAAAAACTATGTACCTAATATAATTCACTTTACACAACATGATGACAATTATTGCTTTCCACCGTCGGCGTTAAGGAAAATATGTGTATAAGACGTGTAAAGTTGTTGATAACGTTGATCGGTTGTCGGCTCTTGACTTGTGAAAACCTCAGTTGTGATCGCATACTAGAAATTGAAAATACACGAGGTCGCCTACAATTTCATTCACTTTGATAAATATAATATTAAGAAAACATCAATAACGTCGTTTATTAGCATATCGATAATAATATTGTACGGTCAAAAGTAGCCCAAGGTTACACAAAATGTTGTATTAACAGATGAGATATACTACCATTTGAAATCGTTAATTAACCGGCATAATAATGTAGTAATAAATCTTACACGCAGATAAAAATCTAAATACAAAAATGATTGCTTTTTTCGTTTAGGAAAATCTGCGGTGTTAATTTTTTTTTTTTTTTTCCAATTAACTTGTTAAACAAATATAAATATTTAATTTTCTTAAGTTGTTATTAATGTAAATCATTACTACAGCAAGTATATAACGCAATATCACGTTTTTTTTTATGCAACCGTTTTGTAATGTTTTTTAACTATGATACCGTTAAGTTAACAGTAAGAATAATAATCGAAGTTTTCTACAATTCACCAGACACACATCATATTTAAATCTAATAAAGAATTTTCAAGAAATTATTACCCGAAGAGTGGATAAATTGCCATCACCGTCAAGAAACAAGCGCATCTTTGCTAAAAAAAAAAAAAAGCTTTTGTTAAACTTTTACTACTTGCACTTGTTCCAAAGGATAGTTGCCGAAGAATACGGTTTATCGAATATTTTAAAGGAAATCTTTTGTTCATTAGACTAAACAAACGAATTTAATTTCTAAGAACAAAACAAGTATTATCATTATTATAATTATTCGAACGATTCGAAGACAATTGACAATTATTATATTTATAGTTTTATAAAAGTTTATAAAATATTTTAAATCAATAAATTCTATTGTTCGGTCGATATGAAATACTTTGGTATAATTGACTTTGGAATTTTCAAATTAAGTCTTATTTTTTTGTAGAACCACAATAGAGCGCTGCGTTATTTTAAACATTTTTCTGACCGGTAATTATCGAAAATAAGAATAAAAAATACCAACTTCTTTTGCCATTTCAAAAACTGTATACCTACTCAGTTATTGAACACAATGGGGGTTAGATTTTTAGTCCTTGCGTTAAACCGAACGATTTGTTGCCATTTCCGCGGTTCCTGCAAGTGTTTCTTCGCACCGACAAGGGCCTAGGATCACGGTTAGAACCTATCTAATATTATGATGTGTCATACAACAGCTTTAAGGCCGTACTTACCTTTACAACGCACTTAACACCACGTTGAGACCTGATTTTCCAGCAGCGTCTTTCGCATAGGTCATTCTGCGTAATTGGGCGTCTTTTTGTCTACCGGACGACGTACAACAATCATAATATAATATTTATCATTATCATTATTATTATCATTATTATTATTATTATCACAGCTAGCATAGGTACTCATCGGGCAGCTTACGTCAGCCAACATAATAACAATATTATTATCGCGTTCATTACAGCAGCTGTTGGACAAGATAGCGCACAAGTATATTAATTTTGTTGGCCTAATTATTTACACCGTACCAGCGCAGCTGTCTCACGTTGTTCATATGCTCGTCGTTAAGTCTGACACCCATTAAAAGTGATTATGAATTAAGTAAGCACATGTCCGAGAACAGTGTCAGAGCTTCCAGACATTTTGCGTGAAGGGGGGGGGGGAAAGGGTCAGCAAAAACATATTATATTAATTCTATTAAGCAATGACACCGTCGTTTTTTTATTAAATCGTTTCGGTATAGTAATGATCCAATGTATATTTTGTAATATTATATTACAACCGGAGTATCTTTTTTAAAGGTGAACCGAAAGTAGAACAATTATTGTTATTATTATTTTAAGACGCCGCCGGAGTCTGTCTCCTCATCGTTTTCCCATTAACTCCATTAGCTCAATAATCGCCTAGGTGGACCAGACGCTGTGCACTTAAAATTAATCACTTTATCGTCTGTGCATTTTTTACACCGATAAAAACTTAGGCCTACACTCGACCGGTTAGCTGAATCACACCAATCAAATATTTTCCATTCTAATATAAGCAACTATCGCCGGTCCCACTTCCTGATAATGCACCCGGAAGACTATGAACAAGAAAATGGCCTAGAGACATTTTACAATAATTTATTTCCAAAAAAAAAAAACAATTATCGATTTCCTAGAAACGCTATTTTCACTGTCACGTTACAATTATAATAAAACAATCGTCACACATTATGTGCATCCTAAATCCTCTTCGCCCCTTTGCAAAAACAACATATAACTATGATTTTCTCTTGTATACAATATCAACAGCCTTTACCTCCTGGGGGAGGGGGTAGGTCTGCCCAAGCAAATTTCAGTATATTTTTATAATTATTTGCTCACCGTGTAACCGTGACCCGCCATCAATCATTATTTATTAACGCCCGGCCAGGTTGTCGCAGTGATTAATATTGCACAGGACGGCAGCGGCTACAATGACATAATCCGGGCATAATTGCTGCTATGCTGTAAAGTGACCAGTGGACTGATAGGCCTCACTGTAGAGTGTGTATAATTTTGACCGTATGCAGAGCACAAGTTTATGTTGATCCCATCCCGTGTTGACTGGCAAGGTATATATTAAAGCTTTGGCATAGTTGCACATGATACTAAAGTCAGTCAATTTGTTAAATACTTATACGTTTGGTCAACGATTTTAGATGCAAACCAATGAAACCTATAGCTGTGATACGGCCAATAGTTAAAAAATTAATCAGACACACAAAAAAAGCCAGTAACGTGGGGACGTGGCAGAGGTCACGGGTCTACAGGAATCATTTATAACTGATAAAATCACTTTCAAATAAACGCTTCCATGCGCCAATCTGTAAACTGTAGAAAAACACAAAAATCGACAAAAGCATTTAAACGAAAAAATGTGCTTAAAATTCTAGTCTATAAATATTTAGTTGCCGTCGTTAGCCATGTAAGTAGAATCTAAAGAAATTATTTTTCAGATATCCACCTGTTTACTGTTGACTCACTCACACATAGCATCTTGAAAATTTAAGCAATCCACACAATATACTCAGTCCAGACACTCTTATAACTGCAGATGAGGGCGGTGTAAAGGTATATTGTATACAATGATAATATGGTATAACAAACAATATGCACACTGGTTTTATGATGATTCAATGAGATTGATTTATTTGTTTTAAAATAAATAATAAGACGGAACAATAAATTAAAAACGAAGGAGCTGCAAGAAGTGTGAAATGAACACATTATAGTTGTATAAATGTATACATATATACACCGTTGGGGACTTCTCAGTAAGCCGGTTTGTAGGCCGGTTTGTAAGCTGGCTTGTAAGCGGGCTTGTACGACGGGGCGGCGTATCCGCCTTCCTTCTTGACGACGGCGTTGAAACCGTTGTAGTCGTCGGCCGTGTACTCGACCACTCGGGTGGAACCGTCGGGCTCGACCAGGCTGTACGAGCCCTTGACGTAGCCGTTGCCGTCGCTGTACTCGGACTGGCTCTTGACGTCGTACGTGTACGGGTCGTTGACGCTGTACTCGAAGCTGTACGGGGCCGGGGCGTACGCCGGTTCCGGTGCGTACGGTTTGGGGTAGTAAGCTGGCTTGGGCGCCGAGTACGCCGGAGCTGGGTACGCCGGAGCTGGGTACGCTGGAGCTGGGTACGCCGGAGCTGGGTACGATGGGTACGCTGGGTACACCGGGGCGGCGGATACGGCGGCCAGCATGGCCGAAGCCAATACGATAACCTGTTGAAAACGACATTATCATTATTTGATATTATTTGTACATAATTATTAATACGGTATTAGTTTTTTACATTTAATACAAATTTAACAAGTAAAAACTGTTAAAACACAAAAAGAAAAACCTGATGGAGGAGAAAGAGCGCATTGGGACGGGGAGAACAAGGGGGTCTACAAGAATATTGATATGACTGAAAGTCATGAAATCACTTTGGAATAAACGTTTAGATGGCAATCTGTAGATGGGTAGTAATACAAAAATCCATAAAAACATGACAATAACGCGCTTAAATTATATTTTCAGCATTAGGGTGGATACGAGGAGGGTTACAATGCAATGAAAATATGTTTCACTTAACCGTTGACCGTCGAATCATTCATGCACAGCATTAGGCAGAAACCTAATACGGTAAAAGTATATTTTCCCCTTTTTTTTGGTTATTTGCCAACATATATCGGTAGTATTGTGTCTAAAGAATATTGTTCTATACACATTTTGAACTAATTTGACTATTTTTACAAAAGTTATATAGTGCTCCATAATTTTAAGAAGAAAACTAAGTAAATTTTTGTGGCGTTATTCGCGATTTTGAGGGGAAAATTTTTCATTTTTGGCCCACTTAAAGTACTTTTTAAGTACGATTTTGGATCTATAAAATTGCTGTACGAAGAAATCGGTTCTGCGGTTTAAACGATATCATCGAACACATCTTTATAAAAATAATACCTTCGCAGCTCCTCATCGATTTTAAAAACAAAATATCCATTTTAAAGAGTAGATTTTACTGAAAATGTTGACTGGACGATAACGGATTTTGAAAAAAAAAATACATTGAGATTTATGAACGGTGGTGAGGCGCAGGCAAATATTTTTATATTAAAACGCTACTTGCTCGAAAAGTATGTTATTTTCGAAGGGTTTAAAAAAAAAAAAAAATCTACCGAGCAAAAATGTTACAATGTCAATGCGCCAATATGTAACCCAGATTCTTGTTAATGCTGATAGTCAAGTAATAAACAAAGGGTTCACATAACTAAATATTCAATATTTATACAAATACATAACCTTCTAATAAAAAAATTAAAAAAAAATTATAATTTAAAAAACTGCAATGCCCCTGCCCAGTCCTTTGACGTAGCTTTAAAAATAATACGATTATATTGTTTTTGATTTAGAGTTGAGTAATAGATGTCGACCACTGTAGTAACCATCAGGGTTAATTTATATTCTATAAACTTAACAATAAAAGTAGGTTGAACAATTTAGTATATTTAACATTTTAAACTATTTAGTATTTATGTACACCATTATACTAATGGGAATATTAGTTAATACAAAGTTTGTCAAATTGCCCATATTCTGCTCCTCGATCAAATATAGTCACTTTTACCCTTAGATATAATTATTATTGTTCTACCAAAATGTTAAAAATTATTATGAAAAAAAAAACACTTTCTTTTTTAAACCGTATACCGAGCAGAATATATGTATATATATTTTTTTTTTTAAAGATGTTCTAAAACGACAAATAAAATATACATCTTGAAGTCGCGTATCGCTTGATAAGATTTTAAAATGAAACCACGTTTTGAAAATAATTAACGGTTAAGTCTAGTTTGACTGTATTAGTGTTATGGATTTTAAAAAAAAAAACAGCAATTTTTTTGGACAAAACCATTATATTAGTTAGTTTTCGAAGAAAAAAAAACTGTTAACACTCACTTTGGAGACCATTTTCTCGTCGTGGATTTCTGTATTTTGTGTGCAGCTGTCGTACTTAAGCGATTTACACCGGATCGGACACGATATTATAATGTATTGATCCGAATTCCGCACCTACTCGAGTATTTATACATAGTGTGATCTAGTTCTGTCCGAGATTGCGGCATTTTTCTCCCTGTTTTGCTTTGCTCGTGCACACAACATAATGTACTGCATTTCGACGTCCTGCCCGTGTGACCTACCCCGAGGCGTAACGTTTTTTTTTTTTTATAAAAAATGTTTTAGAAAAAAAAAAATGACCACTCCCTAAGGGGAGAGCCCGCCGAGTCCACAGCTGCTGCTGTCGCTGCCGGGTTAGAGTGCCAAAGTCGGCCAACGATTTTATGTAAAACACAAATATAACAATATTAACAATCGTGCACCGAGCCCGTTTGTTTTCCTCTATAGTGTTTTTTTTTTTTTTTTTTAATAATAACACGCCCTTGTTTGGTCGTTATCAAAACGATGCAGGACGCGTTGCACAACACACACACACACATATGTATATATATATATATATATATATATATAGACCTGCTATGGGCTTTAAGGTCCATGGCTGCTAAACGAACACAGTGAGTTATATGAATCTCTAAATACAGAAAGGGCACACGTCCAGATTTGAACATTTTCAAGACAAAAACCTTAATATTTCTGGAAAAAAAATGTAATTAAAAATTTCATGTTATTAATTAATAATACAGCGTTAGACATCATATACATGTTTCAACAATTATTTAATGAAAATGTATAGTGATTTGATTCATAAACGGCATAATAATATTATGTCCATGACCCTTAAGGTGCCTAGAGTCTTATAATAATTATTTAAATAATCGTAGAAATATTTCTGTAATAGGTAGATTGTACAGGGTGATTCGTTTATGATAGGACACTATTTAGTTAGTTGCAATTTTTGTAGTTTTTCTTCTTGAAAACATTTTTTTTTGTCTAAATTTACAATATTATTGTATAATTACTAAATATCTACCTTTTTTTTTAGTATTTTTCGGAGCCCTATCGAATTTTGATACCCAAAAGGTAATGTATATGTTTAACTGACTTATTCATATAAGAATAATTTACTCAAAATGGTGACTGGTGACAACCAGTTTTTAATAGTTATTAAAGTTTGGTATGTGGTATGGTTTTTATCTGCAGTTATCTCATTCTTAAAATCAAAACTTTAGTAACTTTAAAAGTACAATTTTACAAAACTGGTTATCGACCAGCCAATATTTTCAGTAAATAATCCTTATTTTAAAAAGTTATTTACATAAATACGGTGCCACATTTTTATGTTTTAAAAGTTGATTGATCTCTAGAAGAAATAAAAAAGATAACAATTTTAATACTGTGAAACAACAAAAATTAAAGTGTCTTGAAATTTCGTTCAAGAGAAATTGAGTGTCTTAACCTAAAGGATGAATCACTCTACACAATACTGTGTGGTAATAAAATACATTGTATAAGCACCAACTTTGCTTTAGTGCCGCCGATAAAATATTATGCTATTAAGCCTTACAAAAAAAATGTCGACTTTTCAATCGACTAATCAATGAAAACCCGGGTAAAAATGTATTTCAAAGCTAAACAATATCAAAGTAGTACATTACGAATATTTTATAGCAAAATATTATAGTCGGTAGACGCTTCCTCCTAGCGTTCTATACACAATGATTTAATTTAATTTTTCCAAAGCAAAAACTATACACAAAGCACGAGTTTTCTTTTGGTTTTAATAACATTTTTCACATAAATATATGTTTAACTAAACTAAGTCTTACACAACTTTTCCTCTTATTCATTATTAAAAACTTCAGAGATTCGGGCATTAAAGTTTGTCGAAAAATAAATAATAATAACGATAAACGATGTACGCGTTTATTAGTGAACAAGATGCATAATAAATTATATTATTTGGTAAATAATTTTATGGTAATGAAACTCAATAGTTATTTATCATAATAAAATAAAATAAATTTCAAAATTTAAATACACCTCTTTACACTATGCTAAGTGTTAAGCCAAACTGGTGAGAACGACCACAAGTGGAGACGCTTAGCCCAAGGTCAAAGAAAGTGAAATATTATTTTATCCATATAAAACAATTTAAAACTTGGTAAAGTTTGGCTAACACTGAAGCCATGAGATACTATTATGGAAGGAAATAGTGGTCTTAGAGTGACCACCGGTTTATTCTTCAAAGGTTGTACAACATTTGTAAAATATTTTTTATGAAAGACAAGCGCTTCGGTACAAATCTTTTTACGGTGAAAAGAATCATCAAATACCTTACATATTTTGTTTATGCCTTTGATTTTAAGTGGTGTTTTATTAACGCTTTATCAAAATATTATGTAAAATTTGCTTTCACTTTGTTTAATTATTTACTATTCGTCACTTATCGACAGACTAAATTTAGGCAAACCTTTAAATGCATTTTTGCACTAGTTTAGGAGAGACTTAAGTTTCAAAACTGCTTCCAGGAAAAGATATGAATAATTAATTTTGAATATAAAAACTAATATTTTATTAAATCATAACCATTTTTTTTAGCATTATAATATTTGATTTTTAATGTTTATAATACAAAACGGTTATAACTTATTCTTAAATTTAGCGTTTCCATTTTAACAAAATTTGTAGAGTTGCAAGTCACACAATTTAAAATATATCACTTATACCTACATATATATTAGGACAAAGGCTTCGACTGCAAGTCCTCTATTATTACAATATTATTATAAATCATATAGGACTATTATGGCGAACTTGGCCTATTTTTTATGATATAATATTTGGAGAAATTGGACGTTAATAATATTTTTATTAATCATCGTTGGTTTACTATTCGAAACTACACGAGTGGGTTGGCATTATTCGTGTGTAATGATAGAGAACGCAATAAACACTATACTAATAATTCATTTGGAATGTTCTAGCAGAGATTTTAATTAAACGTGTAGAGTATTATTCCAACGGCTGTACGTTATGTTTTGTTACGCAATCGGTTTCCATGCGAAAATTATTCAGACTTGTTCACATATATATATATATATAATTTTTTATCTCGTGAGTCGCGATGACAGACTTGTCAATAGGTTCTCCATAATATTACATATCCATTCAAGTACAGTACTGTAATAATAATAATATGTTAACTAACGCCGGTTCGGAGAGCGAGCGTGATTTATCATTAAACAAATATTAAATCTTAACCCGAGCCGAGTGCAACGCAGTTTTAATAGTAATAATAATAATAGGTACTTACTGCACGGCCATAACCGATTATTGGTTTTCGTCGCTTGCATAAAAGCGCAAAAAACCAACGAGTACCGCCAACATGGCATTACATTATAATAACGGTAATAATATAGCTGACTAGGCACAATATACGTTCAATTATGTGTGCTCGTGACCTTTGCGGGTAATTCGATTTTTTTTAACTGACCAAGATATAGCTAGTGACTAATGAATTGGTAAGGTGAGATCCCCCCAAAAAAATAAAAATAATCCTCATTACTGTGTATTAATTAGTATACACAATAGTTTAAGCTTTAAATTAAGATTTTGCCAAAAATGTCCTCTTAACAGTCTGGTAAGAAGGAAGAGAAGGGTTATAAGAGACAATTTGTTTTCCTACACACATTCTGGGTCTTTAGTAGACTCCTATGCCCCGGACGACCTTAGGACTGCCCTGACTAGTTAATAAGTTTAAGTATAAATAATCTAAGTAATTCGACCCCCCCATTTCGATAGAAAATACAACCCCTCCTCTACCCAGAATAATTGCATTTTAATGGGCATTTTGTTATGTTTGCGGACTGGACCTTGTGACCGTCCAGCATCTTTTACCGTCTTAAATAGAATACAAGCCGTGTCCGCGGATAATAACGTTATAATCTCACATCATATTATTATATAGGGATTCGCTAAGATGGTCCGTACATAAGTACATTACGAATACACCGTCTCGGATCAAGGCCGGCCGCGTTTCTCAACTATTATTGTAATGATCGAATATGCGATTACCCGCGCATTTACTAGTCGCACACTAGTTGTACCTACATATTATAATAATATATTTTATTCGTCCTCGCTCCGACTTGTCAGACGACGACGAACCGGTGACTTTCCTCGCCAAAGATGTGCACAATATTTACCCGCTATAGGTATAATACAATGTAGTATTTCACTCTGTGTTATTCTTGTTATCTACACATAAAATATTACTATACTTGTGTGCTGCGCAACAATATGCTTCCATATATTTCATTTCGTTAAAAACCGCCAGCGATCGATTTCAATTATATTTTATACCGTTGATTTATAGCCATCCGCAACGATGGTAATGACTCCATGGTGGTAGGTACACGAATGAAATACACATTATTTATTCAATTACATTGTGTTTACTCACACATTGTAATGTTTGTACGCATACATGTTATATACACAATTGTGTCATGTGAATGTTATATATATAACTCCATGATTATAGACCTGTTATACACATGCTAGACCTGAACGATTTAGTAGGAAGGCGCAAGAAATTTGGTACACGCTTTATTTGGACAAAATAAATGGCCGTCTAGGCGCTCCGAGTCTTTTAGAACGACTCAGTATCCAGGCAACGTCTAAATCCTGGTTACATGCATTTTGTTACTTGCCATTAGATAGAACTTATTTTATGAGAAATGCACCCTTGGCCAAAATCATGTGTGATTGCAATAATTATCCTGGTACTTTGCCTGTATGTGTTGATCATGTTTAATTAGATACATTTCTGTTAAATTAAAAACTTAAATATATATTTTATAAAAGTCGTTTGGCGTGTAAAAATAAGCACAACGCACGAAGTCGATTTGCAAAATATATTTTTGTATATTACATTTAAATAAATAAATAAATAACAATAATAATAAATTAGAACTGACGGTTTTGATTTTGAGCAGTCGGGGGAGAGGGGGAAGGTGGTTTGTATTGATGTGTATAATAGACGACTTAGTAAGCCGGGGCTGGGTAGGCCGGGGCGGAGTAAGACGGGGCAGAGTAAGACGGGGCGGAGTAGGACGGGGCGGGGGAGTAAGACGGGGCGGAGTGAGATTTGTACGCTGGAGCGGGGTAAGACGGGGCAGAGTATGACGGGGCCTTGTAAGACGGGGCCGAGTACGACGGGCGGAGTACGACGGAGCCTTGTAAGACGGGGCCGAGTACGACGGGGCGGAGTACGACGGAGCCTTGTAAGACGGGGCAGAGTATGACGGGGCCGAGTAGGACGGGGCAGAGTAGGACGGGGCAGAGTAGGACGGGGCCTTGTAGGCCGGTGCGGAGTAAGCCGGGGCCTTGTAGGCAGGGGCGGAGTAGGCAGGGGAGGAGTAAGACGGTGCGTATCCGGCTTCCTTCTTGACGACGGCGTTGAAACCGTAGTCGTCGGCGGTGTATTCTACGACGCGCTTGCTGCCGTCGGGTTCGACCAGGCTGTAGTAGCCCTTGACGTTCTGTCCGTCGCTGTATTCAGCCTGGCTCTTGACGTCGTAGGTGCTCGGGTCGTTGACGCTGTACTCGAAGTCGTACGGCTTGGGTGACTCGTACGATTCGTGTCCGTACGCCGCCGGTTTGTAGGCGGGTTTGTAAGACGGAGAGGCGTAAGAAGGTGCAGAGTAAGCCGGGGCAGCCGGGTAAGCGGGAGCCGCCGAGTAAGCTGGGGCAGCCGGGTAAGCGGGAGCCGCCGGGTAAGCTGGGGCAGCCGGGTAAGCGGGAGCCGCCGAGTAAGCTGGGGCAGCCGGGTAGATTGGTGCCGCTACGGGTGATCCGTAGGCGGTGGCCAAGATGGATGCGGCGACGACGACAAACTGTAAACAGAGAAAATCGCATTGTATTACACTGTTGAACACGTTTAATTTTTGTTTTTACTTAGTTTTTATTTTCTTTCGCTTAATCGATAGTAGCATTTTCAAATATAAATCTCTAAAATTAACCTCGCATTTAATTAACACGGAAAATCTTAATTCTTCATTTGGAAAATATCTTACTCGAGAACCAATTAAAATTGTTTACAATTTGAAATGTGTGACCCTTGAAAATCACTATGTTGATACTACAAAAAAAAAATTATTTTCATCAAGTCACACAGAAAAAAATACATAGTCGGTCCAACTAAACATTTGGTTAGCTCAACTAAATGCACAGTTGCTTTAAATCAAAATTTTCTTGATGACTTGCCAAAAAAAAACCCGTAACTCGAAGTATCAAAATAAAGATTTTCAAGCGTCATATTTAGCTTGAAGAATCGTTTTTCAAGTTTAAAAAATGTTATTAGTTTTCAGTTAACAATACGTATTATTAAAAATTCTCATGTAAATTCATGAGAAAGTACTTTAGGTTGAACTAGGGATCTGAAATTTTAGAAATATCTTATTTAAATAGGCTGCTATTGGATAAAAGAGTAAGCCACAGGAAAAATGAAAAAAATAATCTAATACACATAAATTTTAAACATACCAACAGTAATAGAAAGAAATTATAATAATATTACAGTTGATACGTATTAAACAACATGTTAAGCCAATGTATTTCTTGACATGGGTAAATTAATAGAAATTCGTTCACAAACTAAACAAATTAAGTTAAACAATGTCTTAAAATAAATCAAAAAGCCACAACGAAAGTTATAAGACTTTACCAATTTAGTCAATTTCAATAGAAATATTTGGTTATTGACCCAACCGAATATTTATACACTTGTGTTGTATACTAAATGTTGTTCAACTTTTTTTTTTATAAGCCACATTTGTTTTCTTTAAGCGATAAAACAGATATTTTAAAATCGGTTTGATAATTAAGGCCAAATAAGTGTTTATCGTAGAATTTTCCTTTTTTTTATTTTTTGTAGGTGTTTCAAAGTTATTACACAATATCCAATTACTAGAATTTTTGCAGGTTGTTATTGTATTTAAAAACAAACTGTCGAATGAAAGTAGACTATGTAAAACATTTAAATCTTATCTGATGTATAATTTAGGTCATTGTACTCTAGTTTTACAACCGGTAACCGGTTAGTATATTGTGGACAAGACATCTTGTCTTGTGATCAAACAAATCTTCGTACGCGCCTAAGCGAAACGGAAAAGCACATAAACCCTCCAAAGTATTATTTCAAAATGAATAACTCAAAATGAATAAGGCTAGTTTTATTTACCAAGACTCTTACATTATGTACATCAAAATCATAATTATTTAATTGAAAAATTTTAATTTTCGATCGTTTTTGTCGAGTAATTGAATGAATAACAAGAAAATACAATTACCCTGTTACCTTATGCAATATGTATTGCATAAGGTAACAGGATAATTTATGAAAAAGCGAAAACCTTTTTTTTCCCCAGAGTTAAGCATTTATAAAGTGTAATTTGAAAAGTCACTTACTTATATATTATTATATTTATATTTCAAGGTATTTTTTAGGGAAAATCGTATTAAATTTGCAACGAACCGAAAAAAAGTTAAGAGAAAAGCAAAATCAGAAATAAATTCAAAAGAAAAAATATGAAATAAAAACATTAAACTGCTCCAAATAGATTTGGACGCGGTTTAAATATATATATATATTATGTACTAAACTTTAATGGCATTGTGCTCTGAACGGGGGCGTTAAATTTCGGTGGTTGCCAAGACACAAGTGTATGGAAGCAATAAAGTAATTTGACGGTATAAATATTTAACGAGAATTCTTTTAAAAAAATGTATTATTAAAATACATATAAATAAATCTATACCAAGTTAATGCAAACAAAAAAAAAACTTATAAACTTTTAGAACCATATAGCCGACTTAAAATTTAGTTAGATTTTTCACGATTAAAAGGTTTAAAAATTATCGTTTGACTTTTTCCCCATTTAAGTTTCCCGGAGTAATATTTACCAAGAGGTGAACATTACTTGGTGAACGTCTTTAAAAGTTCAAAACTATTACAATGTCGCGTTACCTAAACAACTGTTATTATAAGAAGACGCGAGAGTAATAAATCACTGCCGGTTAAAACGCATTTTGGGACTTTCAGTGTTACTTGGACTATAATGGACCTAGAACAATAGTTCTTTGTCTTTCTCCAAATCTAAGACAACAGAGTTTACCGTGTTAACACTATTAAGATGATGTTTTTACGTCGGTGAATAGCTAACACGTTTATAGTTAATACGCAGGTTAATAAACTTTCTATTTTGTAATTCAAAAACTTTGTTTAAAAATAAAAAAATAATATATTCTAAGTACTTAGCAGTTAACACTTTGGTAGGTCTATATTTATTTTAATTCAAATATAATTAGTAAAATTTAATTACAATTTTTTTTTTATATTAGGTATTGTAAAGCCAAATTTAAGGGTTGGGGGGTGTGACATTTAACACTTAAACGGTAACGTGAGAATTTAATTTGGTCTTATTGAGTTGAGAATAATTTGCCGAAAATGTTGACCAATCAACCGGTATGGAGTCATTACTTTTGGTAGTAAGTTATTAGAGTTTGAGATTTAGGACGGTAAGTGAAGAGCGGTTGTGTAATGGGCCCAGACAAAAACAATACAACACTCCACCCTTCCTCTGGGCTTAAATTTTAAACTTTAATAAGTAACGTCCAGTTCGTTATTGTGTAAGCAATAGAGGTTTTCGTTTATGGGTGGAGAAGACGGCGGGGTTAAGACCCACCGGAACGTGGCAACCCTCCTGTATGAAAATAATTAGCGTTAGGGACTTTTTTCGTGTTTCGATTTATATGCACAGTGTTCGGCGTAATGTGTGTATAAAAAAAATAACAATTGTGTACTCACCGTGTATGCCATGTTGATTTCGGTGAACGTATGTATGAGCTTGACAATTGCAGATCAAACGTCCGTGATTGATAGTAGGGCAAAACGCGGGTGAACACATTTATATATAGCGACCGCGTCCGTTGCCCAAAGGGGGGGCTCTCTCGCTTTGGCGGTTTTTCGGCTGACCCAAGGACAAATGCCAATCGCACACGCCTCCGACTCCCCCTCGGTTTTGTATCTCCTCGGGCCGTGCAACGCGCTGGATTTTCCGTACCTATACAGTATAATGTAATATCTGACCCTGCGGTTGAGGTCGAACCGGATGCGCCAATACACAGCGAGAGAGAGAGAGAGAGATTAGATCATTTATCATTTTAGCGCTGTTTAAAACCATTTTTTTCCCCCATTTTTTTTTCTCCTCGATTTTTGTCTTTTCATGGCCAAAACACGAGAGACACACACACACACACAACGTCTACGGGGTGGATGCGCGGCTTAGGCGCTCCAGTTTCTTATAATTCTTATAGTTTCTATATATATATATTTATACCTACGTTTACTCGGCCTTGTCCGTCCCAAACGACAGACGTCTTACCCGGAGCGACACACTATCGTCAAGTACACGTACGTTTATGCGTTATACATATTATTATTATCATATTTTTTACACCGATGGTTTAAATAGTATACGGAATATACCGGTCGAAACGCCCACCCGGCAAGGTGATGCCCGGAAGATATTATTATACCTACCTAAACGGCTATCTTATGCATATTCCTTGGCTCCTTGATAATTACACCACACGTGTTATCGGCAAAATATTATTGTTTATTGGACAAACGCATTAATAATAATTAAACTCTTCATACAAAACTAAGGCCAAGTAGTTGTACAATATGCATATATCAAATCGCCATGAGTCTATTGCATGTACGGTTTTTTTTTACAATTATGTAAAGTTATTTTTAATACACAAATGCCTCCTTCGTCTCATCCCGACTATTTAGGGTTGTCCTAAACCTCAACTCGACTTGACGTAATCCTCCACATCGTCTGTTAAATATTCAACAGTGTTTTTAGTTTTAAACATAATCTATTTATAACAAACATAACCCATCGCAGACAAAAGGTCGTTCCAAAAAAAGTCGGTCAATAGTAGTTTTTCATTGACAAGAGTTATGATTTTGAAATAAATTACATAGCTCGCAGTAGTCACTGTGTTTATATAATTTTAACTTTTGGAGTGTATTATCATTAGTCCCTGTAGCAGTATTTCAGGAAAACCTAATGTAGAAACTTGTCGACTGTCAGTGTTTGGTCATCAAAAGTTCACCGAGTCAAATTAATATTGGATAAACTAGATTAGCGCTTTCTGCTGAATGCAAATTGCATTACCAGAGCCTTGAACTTTCATATTTAATTCTGTCAGCGTTCAGAGATAAATTTCCTCAGCTCAACGAAATCCAAAATCAAGTGCGTCAGACGTACATCAATCATAATGACGGTGAGTTTCAAACAAAACTGTTGAACGTTTCAAAAATATAACAGCTCAATGAACATTTATGTTTTAAAAAACATTTCATGTCTCATCTTCAATCAATAGGACGGACTAAATGTACCTACATTTGAAATACACTTTTTCAAAATGATTCGAAATTGTTTTATAAAGGAAATTAATTTTAAAGACATCTTAACGAGCCAAGCTCTTGGAACAATCGAATATGACATCAAATCGTAATAGCTGCGCGAGTAGTCAGTGTAAGTTATTTTTTATTTGATTATATTTTCACCGTAAATATCACTGCCAATTGAATTGATATTATATGCTTGCAACCATACGTGTGCCTCTTTACAACACTATATTATATGGTATAGTACGATTCAGCATTAGTATCTATCCAGAGGCTATAGCACAACATTGTTCGGTGTAACTCATTATTGTCATTTTTTTTTTTTTTTTTGTTACATAACTTAATATTAATATATATTGGAACGTTACCGCGACGGATTGATTACAACGATAATCGTTCTGACACATAAGCAGGTCTATAGTACTTTACAAAAAGTTCACACATTATGGGGTTTTAATGGTGCCCAAGTGAGTATAATACTCGACATGTAGAAAATCAACGAAAGGCGCATTAACCTGGCCCAAAACCTGTGTGCTATGTAACATTATTGTGTTATAATATGCTGTTCGGTAAAGCTAAAATGCTTGTCGGTTTATTCTTGCGGAAATTCCCAAACACAATACCGGATGAAAATTAGCAGACTACACGACCTTAAACGCATCGTGTAAAAGTGTTTTGGCTATTAAGCAAATTATAACCGACGCCAATTATTCGATTAATAATTGTCACGCAAGTAAGGCTAATAAGCGATAAGAGTATTTTGGAAACGAGACATGCTCACGCCCGGCCCAAATAAGACCCCAAGGTACGACTACAGGATTATCATTTAAAATGAGATGAGAAAAATCAACCAAACACAATTTCAATATATATATATTTCATATATCTTACTTTATTTAAATCAAACTAACAAGAACAACAAAGACAGTGGCCGCTGAACGCAGTCGCATGAATTACCCTAAAAGAATATAAAGATTATTTCTTAGCAATCTATTCTATTTGTTTTTGATAAAACACTGATCTCCGTAAAATGTGCTGAGACATATAAGAAGCGGTTGATTATAGTGAATTTCAATCGGTTACAAAAATCATACTAATTTAACTGCATTATTAAAAGAAAATATGTTCCATCATTATACGGTCGGGTTAACGAACCTATTCGTTATAGAATCGGTACTGAACTTGTTCCAAATACCAACTAGGAAACCCATTACAAAATCAGTGCACAAAGATTAACAAAAAAATATATATATTGTTCGGTTATATAAGTTTATTAACAAGTAGCAGTTTGTACATAATCCTACGTTGATTTCTTCACAAAAACACACGAACCAATTTTTTTATTGCACAAATAGTCAGAATTTCTTAAACATCCAAAAAGTTTATAACGTTATCCAATATATTTGTGCCCTAAAAATAATATTGAAGAAATAAGGTCTAAACAACAGCTGTTAAAGGTATTGTGGAAACGATCATACCTTTTTTTCTTTAAGACTTAAACGATATAATATGTATTTTCATTCAAACTTACCTATCGGTTTACTAATTAATTAATTTGTTTTAAAATTGTATTAGCATTATACATCATTTTCAATTGCATAAATTCCAATAATTATTATTAAAGGTTTTTTATACAACTTTTATTTTTTTATTTTTTTTTAAACCGTTCAGTTAATTTGAGCGTGACCATGTTTATTATAATGACATTGATTTCGAGCAACATTTTTAAAAGTTGTTATAAATCATAGCGGAAAGGTTAAACTGGAAAACAAATTAATATTTAATTGACGCGTGTGGCCACATTTTTAACGAGCTGTTATCGTCGCGTATACCTACCAAGTAGGACTTCCAATAAAATATGTAATTTAAGTCCAAATGTGTTGTATAATACGTTATAACTGAATTTCAAATAACGACCGTCGTGTTTATTTCTTAGCTCGAAGGTTGACTGTATTTGGCGATTTATGTCCATAAAATATTGCCATTGGAGTCAGCTTTGTGATATTTTTCTATTACACGAGCAAAACCGTGATTGCACGCGCATATAGCTATTGTGTGCAGCATGTCCTTCTCTTCGGCAAGATCATTGAGGGCACAAGAGTTTCCTAGTTCTTAAAGACAGCTGCCGGTTTGACCGCTGACCGCCATACTTGCCTGGCATATTTTATAATTCCACACTATATAATATTGTACACTAACAGTACGGCCGTAGGTACTTCCCGAACAACCGAGAAAAACATTGCTAATTTGTTTACACACCGGTTTAGAAGTCAATTCCGCCATTGTATTTATCAGTGAACGTTATTAGGTACATATAAACACCATTGCAATCTATACTTGGACGTATGTACACAAGAACATTGCACGAGTTGGCAATGATAAGGAAACAATTAGAAATTATATCTAAAAAAAAATAATAACAATTAAGTTATCGTGTAATGCTGTCAGCATTCACTTCACTGTAACAGTATTTTTGTATGTTTTCTTAAAATATTGTCGGTGTCAATATAATGTATTGACCACAGGCCTTCAATTGATCACCTAGGGCGGAAGGGGGAAGGCAGGTTCTCCTGTTGCAATAATTACTCACAGAAAATCTCAGGTGGTAGAAATGTACTACAAGCTGCCTTAACCACTCTGAAGGGATTCACTTGATAAACCGAAACCTAGTGATCAATATTATAATAGATCAATAAAAGTCGAATTATAGACACTAGTGTTCGGTTAAGTGAACGCGTATAGGGTCTTAAACGATTTGTTCTATTAAGTATAGTTCTATTTACTCACCGGTTCCATAACATAACATTATGCCCTTCTAATTCGGTCGTATGATCTAATATCGAAATTACAATAATTTTTGTTCGACTTAAATTATGCACAGTCATGTATGTACATAAACGTAAACTTGTCAGTCGACTTTTATTTACATATTTGTATATTAAATTAGGCAGCATAAAAAATAAAAAATACTTAAATTTACTTTCCTCGGACTACCGCAATTATTTATCTAGTTCACCTTAAATCTAATACTATGGCAATGCAAATATTAGGTAAACTTTACAAGATCATAAAAAATATAAATTATATAATAGGTACATAAAATACATATTATTATGTTTGTTTTTTGTGAATACATTTAGAACGCTTTCGTAGTAACCAGTAAATTGCGCTATGTAAAAGTGTCTGTATGAGTCATCAGCGTTATTCATTCCTAATTATTAAGCTCTAAACAAACAAGTGTACTGTCTTAGTTAAAATAAACACACATGAAATAGTTCCCCAATAATCGAATTTATCAATTACATAATATTATCTTGTTAGCTTATTATTATTACCAACTGAACCCCACTGTATGTGAATAGTATGAATTGGAGCAATAATATACTACAATATGTCTTACTCAAGTCAGTACACATAACTTTTATAAATTATAATTATATTTATTAACTGAGCTTTATAACGCTGTATAGTTTAAAAACTTAAGAAAATATTTGTTAATAT